ACCTTCGTGAGATCGAATATCTCCGAGGAGTGCAGATACTTCCTCTTCCCTTATGTACCTAAAAGATCGAACACGCTTTGCAGTGAAAAGCTCCAAGGTACATATTTTTCGAAGTTGCCTCCAATGGTTTCCATGTGGGGAAAATCCAATGTCTATGTTGTCATAAAGGATGATGTTGGAAGCAAGAAGATGAGGTCTATTGGAGAAGATAAGGTCATGTGTTGTGAAGATCTGTTTGGCAATTTCTGAGGAAGTGACAATGACATTGGATGTCTCTCCAAGCTGAAGATGCATTAAGGGACCATACTTGTTTGCCAAGTTTCTCAGAGAGTGATGCGGTAGTGACCCTATAAGTTGATGGATGTTCCCTATAAGAGGCAACTTCCATGGCCCTGGAGGTAAAGGTAGGGTTTTGAAGGATTTCTTAGGATTTGATCGCTTGTAGATCAGAAGAAGGAAGCAGAACAAGGTGAAGTAGGGGAAGATCTGAAGAATCTCCATGGCTATTACAGAGAAATATTTGTGCGACGTTAAGTTGTCTAGGGTTAATGATTTATATACTAGTGTTGCATGGGATTCATTACAGTATGAGTATCTTCTTAGATAATTATTGTTCAAGATTTCAATTATTGACTTATAATTCTTATCTTGAAACGATTAATAATTTTTTTAACAAAAAAATTATTTCAATAAATAAAAAAAGAAAATAAAATGCAACATTCATCGTCGTTGTTTTTGGCCATCAAAGCAATTATAGCCAATGTAAGAGAGTGGCCTTTATTATTTTGTGGATATTATTATCTTTTTAAAGTATATAGCTAGCAGCCTTTATTTGAATAATAATTAGGTGGACAAAATTCCCCCTATCGAAGACCTACCGATTCCTGGAAAAATGTTCGCCCACTGATTATTAAGACTTGTCGCCATCGGTCGCGTGCTCGACATAGATCTGAAGGGAACTAACTACCAATAGAAAATCTATATTCGTTCGATGTTGAATTAAAATTTAAAAATGATTTAAAAGAAAAGCAATGATGAGAATCTTTTGACTAAAAACATAAAATTATAAATTTTAAGCTTTATCTAGAAATAATTAAACAATAATCACTCATTCTTTTCAAACGAATAAAAACCAATAAGATTTTCTTATCAGATGACACTTCCCATGTGTATGTGTTGTGCGTATCTGTATTTGAACTTATCAATTCCAAAATTTCGTTAGCTAACGAAAGGTTATATTGGGATATGTATATTAACCCATTGTGACTAATAATGAATTATAAGAAATATTTGTAATGGCAAAGGTTAGTCAAATTATGAAATTAACTTGCTAATCCATATTGGTTCAATATAGTTAATAATAATACAACCCATACCTTTAAAAGCATTTTTAGTTCTAAGACTTTTGCTTTTGTTTTGTGAACTCTCAGAGCCTAGTACACTTCCGTTTTCTCTTCTATTCATTTTCTTTCTTCTCATTTCTCTTGCCTCCCAACCTTTCTTCCCATCTAAGCTGGGGTTAAATGTTTAGTTAGCAAAATTAGTTAAGCTTTCCAAGTTTGTGAGCTATATTTTGAATTGTTCAACTTGATCTTTTTTTCTCTGGCCACCATGAAGGCATTAAGCCAAGTGGCTAGTAGCTACCATAAATGAGTAGGAATGGGAACTTCCAGAAATGTATCTAATATCGTGCCAAAAAAAAAAAAATCAAATATCGTCTCTCCATGTGGCGGCTACTTAACTGGCGGCCACCATATCATAATTATAACATAATAACGGTAATGAAGGCTAATTACATTATTATTTTTCTGTCTTGTATTTTAAAATTAAAAAAGTGTGTTAATTTCTCATTATAAATTCTATTTAAATACTTAAATTTAAATTTGTCAACAATTTACACCTTACAAACTGTAATAATTGTAGTTGTAAGATCCTTTGATTTTTTTGATTAAATTTAGTCAATATTTCTTTATTATTTTAGAGTGGCTACATGAAATTGCAGCGTACTTGGACTTGTTAGGACTAGCACGAGATGTTGATATCGTTGCTCAGATTATTGATTCAATATTGATACTTCATCCCATCTTATGTATAACGTATTCTTGATTAATTTGCAGATTTGGGGGAAGGTAAACTAGTTAATTATAATAAATATGCAGCGAATCTGTGGTATTAAGTATATATTTGGTTCCTTAAGTTTACATTAAATTTCAGTTTAGTCATCGTTTTTTTGGTTAAACAAGACTGATGATGTTAAGATCAAAGAATTAAAAATACACTTATAAATTTAATGAATTAAATTAAAACTCGATGTACATCTAGAGAATCAAACCTTCACTTTTAGTTCTTTCAGTTCAAAAATTATAAAATCTCATTTGTTATACAACCTATCTTTTAACCATTACTATTTAATAAGTACATATAAAATGTTCCAATAATAAATAAAAATATTAAGAAAAAAAATTGAATATAAGAGATAAGATACAATGAGACCGCCGTTAGCGCGTCATTCATCCACAAAAATGGTTTATCAATCAGTTAATTTTAGTCCTAAAAATATGTGAGCTTTATTTATTTATTTATTAAAAAAGACAAACACACGTCAAATACAGCGTGCTTCTCCATCAAATCTGATGGCTGTGGGCCCCACTTGTCTGCTGCTCCCATGCTTTAATTATTGGTGCGCAAAGCGTTTAAGGGAAAATTACACCCAAATCCCACATAAAATAATTAACTTAGAAAAAGTCTCTAAAAATTCTGAAATGATTCCTAAATCTCCAAAGACCTGTATGTAATAAATTGTAATTGTGAAATTACTTACTTATCCCCATTAATTTTATTATAGCAATTCATTTATAACCTCAATGGTGACTGTTGACAACCCGAGGTGAAGTGGTTGACAACCTCAGCAATGCTCTTGACAACTCACTCTGTGGAGTACCAGTGGCATTCTCGAGGTTGTTAACCACTTCTCCTCGGGTTGTTAACAGCCACCGTTGAGATTGTAAATGAATTGCATTGGGTTCAAATTAATAGGGGTAAATAGGTAATTTCACAATTAGAATTTATTACACACAGGTTTCCGGAGACTTAGGAATCATTTCCAGATTTTAAGAGACTTTTTATGAATTAATTATTTTATGTGAGACCTGACTGTAATTGTTTCAGCCTTTAATATAATTTGTGCACTAGGTCGACGTCAATTCAAAAGCCAACCTAATAAATGCATGCAATGCGAGAAATTGTTAAAAAATTAATTTTCTTTATTAAAAATTATCGTCATAAAAATTAATTAAATCCATTGCCTCACCAACCATATAAACATTATTATAGTCATTTCATTGCCTACTCGTTACGTCCATATTATCCAGCCCCCACTTTTTATCCATCGCATAGATATGACTGGAAAATTAGATCAGTCAAGATAGGTTACGTTTCTCCTATTATTGGTGGCTTAGAGAAATGCCGTCAAAGAGAAGGCAAGAAAACGAATGTATTACTTTCGATTTTAATTATAAGACTTTGTTTGGAGGCTATAAATATCTTTCAATTAAAACTGGAGGTAGTAATGAAGATGTTTTTCCTTTTATCTTTGTTTGGCTTATGTATATATGTGTGTCCCTGTAAAAGTACTACACACTGTGTGCTCGTAGAAAGAAAAAATATTCCATCATTATATCACTAAAAAAATAAACATGGTGAGTGCATTTGAGAAATAAAATTAAGAGTGAATTTTTATTTTTACCTTGGTTAGTTATAATAAATATGTGGAGAGTCTATGATATCAAGTATATATTTGGTCTCTTAAGTTTATATTAAATTTTAGCTTAGCCTTTTAATTTATAAAGTGTATTTTAACATTGTTTAGTATAATCTCTTAATATTAATATTGTGAGTCTCATTAAACTTAACAAATTTAAATTGTGACTTTGCCATTGAATAATCACAAAATGTACTCTAAATTTTAGTTATTTAATATAATCATTTTATATTTAAAAATTTAAGCACGATTCGTCAATATATTAATTATAGAGTTACTGTTTACATTGCTGAGTCATCATTTTTTGTTTGTTTTAACAAGACTAATGATATTAAGATGAAAGGATTAAAGACGCACTTTATTAAAAATGCACGTGATGCAATTATTTAAACAAATAAAAATAGACTAGACAAGTCAAAATAGATTGCTCTCAATCTGTCGTGATTTTCGGCCGCACTATGGGCCCATTTAGGCCATTTGAAATGGATCATAGATAGGTTTTCAATTATGACCAAACATGAAGTAAGTACACGGGAAAAGTTTTATTTTGGTTTACGTAAAATATGTTTATAAGTAATTTTAGTTATGATCCCAAACAGAGTCTTAATATAATTTATAAATAAATTTTTAATAATAATTTATAAAATATAAGATAAGTATGCGAGATGAATTTTATCTCAATTTGTATAAAATGTTCTTATAAATAATTTGAAAACGGGGGCTATATCTGAGGATACCATGCTCGCCACCTTCGGTGTCCCCACGAAAACCCCGCCTGTTCATTTTTATAATTTTTATTTCATGAACAAAGCATATGATATTATAAATTTTTATAAATAAATCATGATTTAAATATGGGTGCACCAATTTGTGCACTAGGTCGACATTAATTCAAACCAACCCAATAAAGGCATGCAATGCAAGATTATTGGGTTTAGCCTTATCTCGAAGAAATTGTTAAGAAATTAAAAAAAATTAATTTTATTCATTAAAAATTCTCGTGATAAAAATTAATTAATTCCGGTGCCTCACCAACCGCATAAACATATTTTGGTCATTTCATTGCTTACTAATTACATCCATATTTTCCACATCCCACTAATTGGGGTGGCTTGGAAAAATGCCGTAAGGGAGAAGAAAAAAAAACAGAACGTAATAATTGAGATGTTTTGTCTTCTTTTATCTTTGTGTGGCCTATATATATGTCTGGGTAAAAGCAGTACACACTGTGTTCGTAGAAAGAAAAAATATTCCATCTTCGCTATCGGTGCCGCCATGTCTCTCTGGCTCCCTCGCTTGCCATCTCCTTCCCTTTCTCCAGGTTCTCTCTCTCTCTCTGCACAGAATCAGATTTAGTACTCATTGATGAACACTTTAAACTTTGGACCTTCCATGTCTTCCTCGGATGGTTAGGATTTGATTCTTTTTTTATTTTTATTTGTTTAAAATAATTATTTTAATATGGATGAAATCTAAAATAAAGATAATTTTTTCACTATCATTCTTTTTAAAAAATAAATTTTTCTATTTAAAATAATTAATTGCAGATTTCAAATTTAAACCATTCAAATCAGATATAGACAGTCTAGATTTGATGAGGTTAGGGTATTCATCAAAGTGATGGAAATTGGTTCCCTTTCTACACAACACACTCCACACTCCTTTTAGTCTTATTTGTAAGATTTAAATTTGGGGAGGGATGTAATCTATTTTATAAGTTTTAATTTGGATTTGTTTCAATATTTAGTGCATTTTTTAATATTGCTCATTATCATTTATTCTCTCTCCTTTTTGCCATGCTCTTTCATCACATTTTCCTATACATTCTCACCCATCATTTTTCTCATTTATTATAAATGCATATTTTAAAAGAAAAGTATATATATATCTTATCTGTTTATTATTTTTAATTAATTTTAACTAATTTTTGGTTACACGCTTTCTTTGATTCTTATTACAAGTCAACTTTAAATAGCTCATCAAGAGAAGTGGTTGAACCATTAAGAACATGGAAACAATATTACATCAGACTTATGTAAATTGTAATAAGAGTAATGTTTTAAAGATAAAAGTTAGTTAATGACTCATCTAATGACTTAATTTTTATAGAAGCATTAATACTTCTTTTTAGAAAGTGCCTTAGTGTGTGTTTGGTAGAGCGTTCTGAAGGGGGTACCGTGCGTTGAAGGGGGAAAAGAAAGCACAATGAGGCTTAAATTAATATTTGGATTCACAATACATCAAAATGGGCTTATGATGCAAAAGTCATGGTATCTCAAAAGCTAAAATTTATTGCTTTTACTGTTTCACATCACCTACTGCTGAGAGAGAAAATAAGACCATGAGAATAGATAAATTTTAAAATAAGATCATGAGAATAGATCACCAAATCAGATTCTGGAAAAAAAAAATCACAGGCAAAATTGCATTAAAAAACTTTCATAGGTAAAATTATATACAAAAAAAATGACCATGGGTAAAATTACACTATTAAAAATATAAAAATGTTGGGTGTATATGAAAAATAAAATTAAGACTAAAAATGCACCGTTACCCTTATAATTTTAATATTTTTCTTAAAATTATCACGTTATTATTTAATAATGTTCATATCTCTTTTCTATTAATTATCTAAACAAGTTTAAGCTTTTCAAACTGATTTTTTTACAAAAGTCAATCCAAACATAAATCACATTATACTATCTGACTTTTATCTAATCTGACTTTTGTAAAAGTCAAATTGAAAAAAAGTAACTTCTCTCACCGCTAATCCAAACACACCCTTAAGGGATAAAGGAAGTATATAGATATAAGTGTAACAGTTTTCTTGAACTCTCACAAAATCAAAAGAGAATGACATTTAACAAGTCTTGTAGACACCTGAAATTATGTATTCTGCTTTCCTTTCTAGCTGGGCTGTTTGTGGCTATGAAAGCGTCGCTTCTTGAAAGGAAAAGAAAGAGAGAGAATCCTCAAAGGAAAGAGAAAGGGTAAGGTGAGAAGACAAAAGGGAAAGTAAGGGCGATAAGGAAATTAAAGCGGAAAATAAGGAGAGAGAAAATTGTTAAATGGCATGTAACTCAGTTTTGGTAAAATGAATATGCTTGTCTTTTCATTAATGCATAAGAGTATTTATATACAAACGGAAGCAACCATATGGACAACTGTCCTAGTTATAAATTAACTAACAAAGTGTTAACTATCCTTCACACGGTATACTTAATTCTTGTCTATATTTTCACCTCCCAGCAACTTCAGATGGATCCAATGCAAGGAACGAAGTTCATAGCAGACCTAACATTAATGTAACGTATCATTCTTTCATTTCTTATGTATCTTCAATTATGACAATTAGTTTATAGAAATAAAAATAAGATGGTCGATTGTATTAACTAATGCAGATATTAGAGGGGGACAAAGTGAGAATAAAGAAGATGTTCGACAAAATTGAACTTTCTGCATCGAGTTATGACACAGCTTGGGTGGCAATGATACCATCACCTTCTTCTCCACAAACTCCTCTCTTTCCTCAGTCACTAAACTGGTTACTGCAAAATCAACAAAACGATGGATCATGGGGTCTTTCTGATCGTCACGAGTTGCTTGTTAAAGATTCTCTTCTATCTACTTTAGCTTGTGTTCTTGCACTTAAGCAGTGGGGTGTTGGTGAACAGAAAACTAACAGAGGTATTTATGTAACAATTTATGAATAAGGATTTCTTTTTGATTTAAAGGATTAACTATATAGATAAAGTCTTTGAAGTTTAAATTCAAAACCAACTATGTATAGTCAAATAATGGGGTGATCATTTGTGCTGATGAAGGACTGGGATATATCGAGTCCAACATTGCTTCAGCTCTTGATGATAAGCAACATTCTCCAATAGGATTTGACATCATCTTTTCTCATTTGCTCGAGCAAGCCCAGAAGTTGGATCTAAATCTTCCTCTTGGAGGGAAACGTTTAGAGACATTCATGCAAAAAAGAGAATTGGAGCTCCAAAGGTACCTTTACATATATAGTTTGCAGAGAGTTGTTCATGGATGTGTTGCAATAACTTATCAGAATTTTTATGTATTGGTTATAAGTTTTTTGAATAGACAATATCTGAGCTCTTACGTGCATATAGTGCAGTGGGTGGGGAAGCAAGTCAGAAGGATGGAAAGCATATGTGGCATACATCTCAGAAGGATTTGGGAAGTCACAGAACTGGGAAATGGCTATGAAGTTTCAAAGAAAGAATGGTTCTTTGTTTAACTCCCGGCCACCACCGCATCAGCATATACTCACATTAACAATGCACATGTCTTGATTATCTATTTTCACTCTTAGATAAATTTGGAAATGCTGGTAATTAATTCTCCCTAAAAAGCTTTGATGGATTTGTCTTCTTCTACATGACAGTTATAATTACGTTTTCCGACTAATATTTGTTTTCTTATATATGTACGTATGCTTTATTCAGTTCCAGCAGTTCATCCTTTTGATGTGTATGCTCGACTCCATATGGTTGATAGTCTTGAAAAGTTGGGTATTGATCGCCATTTTAAGGAGGAAATTGAAAGTATACTAGAGGAAACATGGAGGTAATTAACTTTGTGTACTTCAAATGCTTGAAATTGAAAATAACTATTATTCTAGGAAGCAAGAAGGCTACAAAATTTGATCTCCTGCTCGATTTGATTATGAAACAGAATGTGGCAAAAGGAAGAAGATGACATATTTTTAGAACCCACCACATGTGCCATGGCATTTCGTTTGCTACGTTTGCATGGATACAATGTTTCTTCAGGTTTTTGTGTCTTTTTCAATTCAATAAAAGGAATCAAACAAAAATAGCTAAATCTGATGTGATAATTTGTGTACTACTTTTTCAGATGCATTTGATCGGTTCTCAGAAGACAGATTTTACAATTCTCTTCTGGGTTATTTGAGGGATGTCGAGGCTGTTTTGGAGTTACGTAAGGCTTCTCATATAGTTTTGCATTCAAATGATTTAGTTTTGGAGGAACTAAACTCTTGGACACAACACTTCCTTGAGGAATATTTGTCCTCTTCCTCAAAAAATGCTTACAAGCTGCCTTCTAATCATATTGACCACGAGGTGTGTGTATATTAAACTCGAAAATTCAATTTTGATTTCAACTTTCGATGATATTCTAAAGTCCCATGTCAGTAAGATAAGCTAAAAAAATCATTTCATATGTTAATTTCAGGTACCTTTTGCTATGCGTTTTCCTCATCATGCTTATTTGGATTTCATTTTAAACCGAAGATCTATAGAGCATTACGACGCCCATCAAAAGAGAATTTTGAAATCTTCATATTGGTACTTACATCATATTATGGATCTCAGCACACTCTATTTTTCATGCGAGCTTCCTGAAAGTTCATAATCACTCTGTTTGTCATGGTTTTATTGCTCAGTTCTATGAATCTCCCCAACAAAGAATTCCTCAAATTGGGAGTAGACAACTTCAATCACTCTCAACTATTATTTCTTGAAGAATTCAACCTGTTCAACAAGTTAGTATCATTTTCAAGAACTCAAAACTGACTATATATATAAATATGTTGCTTTAAGAAATTATGTGCATTTATTTTAAAATGCAAATAACATTTAACATTCAATTTGTGTAAGCTTATTCATTCTAACCTGACGCCAATCTTTAAATTACTGATAAGTAGATATTTACAATCAGGTGGTTTATGGAGAGTGGATTGGAGAAACTACATTTTCCAATCTCAAAAGCAAAAGCTGCCTATTCCTTCTTGACTGTTGCAGCAACACTGACCTCCCCAGAACTTCGCGAAGCACGCCTGACATGGGCAAAGCAAAGCTTGTTGGGATGTGTGGTCGATGATTTCTTTGATGTTTGGGGTACTGAAGATGAACACATCAACCTTATTCAGTTAATGGAGAAGTACGGTCTTTGTAATGAACCCCTATAACTGTTGTCTATTTTCTCTCTGCATAATATGAAGATTATGTGTTTGGAACATTGGATTGCAAGTGGGATGCAGATGTCGACAAAGAAAGTTGTTCTGAGACGGTGAAGATAATATTCTTAGCACTAAAGAAAACAATTTATGAGATTGCAGCCGAAGCATATGAAGTTCAAGGACGGAGTGTGTTGAACCACTTGATTCAGATCGTAAGATCATAATTATCTCCTTGCTTTCTTTGCTAATTTCATCATCGCACTAAACTCTATTAATCTCTTGAAATATTGACATGTTTTGTTTTCAGACGTTGGATTTACTACGATATGAGTTAAAAGAAGCGGAATGGTGCAGAAACAAGTGTCTGCCAGGTATAGAAGAATATGAGCGCAATGGAATTATATCAATGGCCTTGGGACCAATTATTATCCCCGTAATGTACCTTATTGGACCTAAGCTTTCACAGTCTGTCATTGAAAGTGATGAATACAATTACCTCTTTGAGCTTGTTAGTATTTATGGGCGATACCTCAATGATGTTAATGGCTACCAGGTGATTTGACGAGTCTTTTCCTTTCCCTTGAATATTTTTTCTAGGTTTTCGTAGCACTAAGTGAATAAGATTATATTGTATCTGTTTCTGCAGAGGGAAAAAGAAGAAGGGAAATTTATCAACTCCATAAGCTTGCGCCTGATTCACGGCCGTGGGGAAGAACGTGAAGAAGAGATCATAAAGAAGATACAGAGTAAAATAGAGGACAGGAGAAAAGAGCTGGTGAGATTGGTATCAAAGGAAGAAGGAAGCAAAATGCCAAGAGAAGTGAGGGATGTGAATTGGAAAATGAGCAGATCACTTCACCTCATTTATAAGAAAGAAGATGTGATTCATGCGAAGGAGATGCCAAATGAGGTGCTCAACATCAGAGATATAGTTCTCAACAGTCCCATTATTTTAGATTCATAGATCACTCGGGGGATTCCAAATTCCCTCATTTGATTGGAAATTAATTTCCAACGAGATCGTGCCTCAAGAACAATGATAGAGAGAGGAGAGACTTGTAGGGGTTTTGCACCCTAAAAGCTTTGTATGATGTTTTTATATCTTTGGCCCCTCGAATTTTATACAAACTTTTTAATTTATCATGGAAGTGATATATATATATATATATATATATTTGTTTTCAGCACAATTTTTCTTGATGGAACTGAGACAACAGCAGCAACCACAAAGAGAGCAATGATAGGAATGATTAAAAAAAAACAAAAGTAATCAAGAGGGGTCTATGTATCAGTATTTGTTCTAAACATTCTGAGCACCTCCTGCATAAAAATCATCATACCTTTGTAATCTAGTGTTCATATCGGCTACAAGCACTGAAATAAATAAACAACACAAAGGATAGGTTCAGAAAATCAGTAGCAGCAGTAGAAGGGTTCAAAGCAATGGTGGTAGAAGAAGAAGAAGGGAGCCACAGAGAATTCCCAAGAATGGGACCAGAGAGAAAATCATCCAAAATCATCCATACCCTTTCGTAACCAATTTTACCCCTTATTATATCATCTCCTCTGCCTCTAAATCTCACTCGTTCCTGTCTTGGGCTTCCCATTGGGCCTCTATCTTGGCCCAAATTCTTAATGACCGTTACAAACCATTTTTTCAACTAAAAATGTTCAAATTATATCAATAGGGGTTAGGTCTAGTGGAAGGGGTTAGTCCCTCACAACATGACGAATTAAGGTTCAAATCTCCGCTGGGAGACGTGCCCACATTTAGTGCTTGACAGTGCTTCGAATAAAATTGCCACCAATAGGAGGATACCTATGCTTTGGCAAAAAAAGAAATGCTTAAATTATATTTTAGATTAAAACTTTGATTAGTCACCTGTAGAGGGTCTTAGAAATCCAGATATCATCTCCACCACCACATTCTATATCAATGTATTATTTTTATTTTTTATGTGGAACAAATTAATCGACAATTTTCATGACTAATTAGGTTCATTATTTACAAGTATAAAATAAACCTCACTAAAAAATAGACCTGGCCAGGTAGATCTTTCACTATGATACAATATTCAAGAATCTGATTAGCAGCTCGTTTTTTAACCAATAATTTGATTGCAAAGTTCTCGCCTTCATCAAGAATTGTCTCTCTTGGAAATTAAAGTTGAGTAGCTCCGTAAAAATTAAACACATTGATAGATCATGAGGTCTACCTGGTCGTAATAAGTCGGTGACCAAAGACTCCATTCTATCTACTTTGGCTTGTGTTCTTGCACTTAAGTAATGGGGTAAAGTCAATAGAGGTGACTGATATGGTTTTGAATCTTATTATAATTAAATTCATTAGTTTTATTTTGAAGAAGCATATAATGAAATAATTGGGAGATTCTTTTTTTGTTGAGGGACTTGGATATATTGCAACAAACATTGCTGCGGTTGATGATGATAAACAAATTTCTTCAAATGGATTTGATATTATCTTTGCTCATTTAATTGAGCAAGCTCAAGTCTGGATCTAAATCTTCCTCTAGTAGGGAATCTGCTAGCGAAATTCATCCAAAAGAGGGAATGGGAGCTCAAAGGTATCACTTTTTGTTTTTTTGTTTTTGTCTCTCCACATGTTCATAAAACAGTTGGCAAATTCTTCATGCATGGTTCACAAATAGCAATCATTTCCCACAAGAAGTGGACTACCAAGAACACTCATTCATTGGTTCTCCTACTGGCAAGCGCGGGTTTCAGCTCTGTTATGAACCCATTAAGCAGATAGTCAACACTTGCATGAAGGATAAGCTTTGGCTGATGTTGTAAAAACTGGGTGTCAACATTAGAGTTGAGAGTTATGGGTTCAGTGTTAAACTTTTAACATGTCAAGTATGTTTAATTGGGAAGCTATGTTCATATTATTTATTAATTATAGCTTGCTTGGTATTCAAGAAATTTAATTGTCTTTATTGTTTGCTTTTTTAATTGTTTCCTGTTTTTAAAGTTAAACAAATAAAACAAAAAATATACAAGAAAAGCTAAAAATATAAATAATTTTGTTTCAAATTTTAGATTTGCTCATGGAACTTCTCGTCACAAATTACTAACAAAATTCTGTTACAAATTAGTCACAGATTACCAATAGAAAATTCTGTGGTTAATTAGTGACAGAATTTTTTATCAAAAATCCATTGATAATTACCACCAAAAATTCTATCAAAATTCTGTTAATAACTACCGATAATATTCTGTCGGGAAAATTTGTGACGAAAAAGTTAATCTGTTAGAATTATTGAAAGCATAGAAAGCAATTACTCCTAGATGTTATTGGTCTCTAGGGGCGATACCTTAATGATGTCAATGACTACCACGCGAGATAGATGAGCAATTGATCGATCTCAATTTTCACATGCATCTTGTAGGAAAAATAATAAAGTGAATATGAGATCTAGATATGTGTGTGTGCGGTTTTATGTGCAGAGGGAGAAAGAACAAGGGAAACCGGTGAACTCAATAGGCTTGCGGTTGATTAATGGAAGTGAAGAAGAAGAGATGAAGAAGAAGGGTGAAGAGAAAAGGAAAGAGCTTATGAGATTAATGGTGAAGAAAGGAGGAATCATAGCATCCATTGATGTGAGAGAGGTGTTTTGGAAAATGTGCAGAACTCTTGAGGTGATTTATAGGAAGGATGATATAATTTATTCAACGGAGATGCCTGATGAGGTGCGGAGCATCAAAGTCAGAGATATAATACTCCTCCGGTCCTTAATATAAGACCCATTTATCTAATTAAAGAAGTTAGGTAAGTTAGTTAATTATAAGAAATGTGACACATTTTTCCTAAAACATCATAATCATCTTTTTTAATACCTATTCTCCCTCTTCTACTCAATTATAGTTGAGGGAATATCTATAACGGTAATTTAGAAAAAATTGATAAATATAATAAATGAGTTTTATATTTAAAACCAAAACTAACTCAAAAATTAGGTCTTATATTAAGGATCGGAGAAGTACTTGCCAATCCCATTGTTTTGGGCTGTTAGTTCTAGGCTTGGCCCATTATAACTCTTTTTGGGCCATAAATATAAGTGTTGGGCCTATTATAATGAGGGTACCATTATAAGAGGACGTGATTTTCATTTCTTTTTCTTCTTAGAACATAATGGTATTATGTGTATCAATGAGGTTTAGGTCCATTAGAAGCTAAGGAGCTAGTCCCTACAATGTAGTAAATCAATATTGGCTAAAAGTGATAATGCTGGTAAACTAAAAATAGCTAGATAATTAATTTAAAAAAATTAAAAGAATTAGTTAAGTTAGTTATTTATAATAAATATACGTTGACTTTTCTAAAATATTTTTTTTATAAGCACAGGTATCCTCTTATTAGAGGCAATCCTATTTGATACCTCTTTCAATGAAAATTCAAACCTTGGTTCACCAAGATAAATTACTTTCTTTAATGATATGTATTGAAATCACACATTGGTAGAAATCTCCTTCAATCAATAAGAATACTTTGAAAAAAATGTGAGGTAAAATGAATTGAAGTCTTATATTTATAATCAAATTAAAGTTTTGACTATTTTTTTATACTAAGAACTTGAAGTAGTATTGTTTTACATTTCTTCTTGTTTTTTTTTTGGAAAAAAGGAATGTCATAGCACTTATTCACAAAAGTGCCTCGAAATGGGAAAACATGGCCAACGGTCCTGGGCTGACGGCCTTATTTTTGGGCTCATCATAATTCATTTTGGGCTAGAATAAACTGATGAGCCTATTATAGTGAAAGTTGCTGCAACGTTGTGTGTGTGTACACGCTAAAAGCAACAAATACAGTCACTGATATGGCCGCACGAATGATGAGAATTTAACAATAATTATTTGAAATATATATATGTGTATATATTACTAAGTTCTATTCAAGAGGACCGACCAATATAATGTAAGATATTTTTAATTAAATCATAGAGTTAAAAAAAAAAAGCAGTTAAATGTAATATACAGTCTAATTTTTCAAAAATGATAATAAATTTTCAAAATTAATTTTAATTATAGTCATTAACATGTATCATAAAGCTGAAAATAATGCTTCTCAATAAATTAAGAGTTAATTGCATGAAGGATACTTTTGAAAATACATCATAAATGATTTATTAAATTCTGCAAAGATGACCATTTCTCCAGAAGGGAGTTTAATTTATTGTGGTCTCGAGTAGGAAGGAGTAAAGAGAAAGTGATTGTCATGTGGGTCCCAACTGAGTTTTAGAGTCCCCATAAAAAATAGGGCCCACATGTTGGATCAAGTAGAAGAAAGTAATCACTCACAACACTTTAAATTAAAGTTCAAATTTTTGTTTAAAGAAATGTCGACATTGATATTAGAAGTATTTTATAAATAAAATCAGAGGGGGTATATAGATATGTTATCTACCGAAACATAAAGTTTTCTATGAATTTAATTACTCAGCATCTTTAGCATCAGTACCAAATGATTGCAGTGATTTTGCAAAAAATTGGTGTTATTTATAAGGCATTTTAAACATATTTCACATGAATAAAAAAATCTAAAATTACATTAACTCTGTCTTAAAATATAACAACTTTATAATTGTACAATTATTTAATATATAAAATTTTTTAAAAAATAATAATTTATATTGTGATAAATGAAAAACAAAATAATACATTCATATTAAAAATTTAAAAATATGACTTATAGCAAGACAAAAAAATTTCTCTCCATACCTCATAAATAAATAAGACTAGAACACAGAAGGGAAACTTCCTTATTGCATCTAGGAGGATGAAAAATGCTACTACTTGAATGTGCATGCATTATTCAATTTGATTAATGCACGGAAAAAAAAGTTTGAATGCCAACCTTTCGGAAAATTGATGGCTCAAATAAATGACAAAGAAAAGTCTGAATGAATGGGGTTTTTTTTTTTGGATACTTAAAATAAGATGAGATATAATATTTTTTAGAATACAATACACCGATTACCCTTCTATTTTATTTCAATTATAAAAATCTCTCTTTATTTTGAAAATATATATAAATCTCCCTTACAGTTAAAACATATG